AATCTGATGCAGTAGAAAGTTTCCACACTGAGACAGAGGAGGAGGATCTGATGACAAGACCACGTAGTCCCGAGGCTGTTGATGATGAATGGATCAAACCCATAGTGGAAGCAAATGCTGAAGAGTTTGGTGTTGTGGAGGGGCAGACTGTGACCAAAGAAATTAAGAATTTTGAAGAAAGTTTTGGACGAGACAGTGAAATCGATGTATTTGGAAGCACCGCCGTGCAGGAACTTATACCAGCTGTCAGCACTTCTGCTGGTGTAGAAAAAGAAACTGACGTCGACAATGAAGAATCAAAAAGGATCCCCGAAGAAGATGCATCGTATGAGACAGTAACTCCAGAAGGTACTGAGGAGGATGTGTCCACTGAACCAAGTGAAATTATTCTTGAACAGTCATTGCAGGACTTTGAAACTGATGCTCCAAGTCAAGTGTTCCAAACGTTCGATGTAGATGCCGAGGCTTCTGAATCTAGTTCACCGAGGGAAGAAGATACCTTGACGTCTCAAGAAACTCAAGAAGTTGAAATGTCCTCTGAGCCAAGTGAAATTGTTCTCGGACAAGACATTGCCGATTTCGAATATGAAGCCCCTGTCAAAGCATTAAGTCAGTTTAAAGGAGAAGATATTCAGGTGGAGGAAGAAATCGTCGGAGAAGTTGAAGATGTAGAAAAAGTGACATCAGAAGAAGAGTTCGTTGTCTGTACTGAACGCAGTGAGACTACTGCTGTGTCGGAAGAAACCGATGAACACGCAGAGATATTGACAGAGCCATGTGAAATTGATTTAGGTCAAAATGTAACAGAGTTTGAACATGAAGCACAGGAAATTGTTGCTGAGAAAGAACACGACCAGACATCAGCGCCAGGGGAAGATTCAGCTCTCAGTACAGAGTTCCAGGAGACAGAATCTGATGCAGTAGAAAGTTTCCACACTGAGACAGAGGAGGAGGATCTGATGACAAGACCACGTAGTCCTGAGGCTGTCGATGATGAATGGATCAAACTCATAGTGGAAGCAAACGCTGAAGAGCTATGCATTGCTGAAGGGCAGATTATGACAAAACACATGAAGACATTCGAAGAAAGCTTCGAAAGTAACAGTGAAGTGGATATGTACAACAGCATGGCTGCACAGTCAAGTTCAACTTCCATTGAAGTATCTGAAGACATAGTTGAAGACACTGCTTTCTCAGTTGAGAAATCAGTGACTGTTTCTTTCGAAGATGAATCAACTGAGACTGTACCTTCCCGAGATTCAGTGGATGATGTTTCTGCGGAGCAGACTGAGATCACCCTTGTGCAGTCTTTCGAAGAATTTGAAACTGAAACTCCAAGTAAAGCTCTTCAGGAAAGTGATGCTGGGGAATGTACTACCGAAATAAAGTCCATCTCTGATGAGCTGTGTGGTTCTAGCGAGGAAAGGAAATCGCCGCTCGTTGTCTCCCAAATTAGTTACAGCAGTCTTAGGGACTTTGATGTTCCAGACCTCGGAGAAAGTATTGAAGAGGCTATCCTTGAAGGTGACCAGACTTATTTATCTCGATATGAGTCAAACCAGGTGCAGAGAACAGTGGGTTCCTCTACCACAGAAAAGCATGTCGACATTTTAGTGAAGCCCGTTAGTCCATCTTCGTACACAAGTCAGTCTGAATTTACATTCAGTGCAGCACACGTGGTTGAACACAAAATCTCTATGTCAGAGAATCTATGTTCAGAACAAAACGTGCAAGAAATCCTTGTCACCGATTTAGATGCTGCTGACGTCGAAGATTTCGATGCTGAACGCTGTGTAGACACCATGTCTGAGGCAGCCTTACAAGAATACCGAGAGCTGGAACCTGAAAATGGAGCTCCTGGGACAGACACAGAGAAAGTGGAGAACGACATTATTATCACTACAGGGGCTGATGACAGCAACGCTTCTGATGTTCAAACCATGGTTCCTGATACACCAGACTGGCTGGCATATCCTGTTGCAGATAATAAGAACTCTTTGTATGCTGGGCAAGTAGGATCAAGTTCATCACTAACGGGCAGCGCTGAAATTCAAAAACCCATTAAGGGACTTGACTCACATGAGCTCGTTCCTGATTTTGGTGAGCTCGATTCGGAGCAGGAACGCAAAGAATCTGTGCAAGAGCCTGATGAAACACGTTCAGAAATATCACCGAACGAGGGAGTTCCCGTGACAGATTTAGACGCTGATGAAGTAACTCAGAACGAGGAAATTCAAGTGATAGATTTAGATACCGAGGAAACAGCACAAAATGAAGAAATACCCGTCACAAATTTGAAAATTCCAGAAGCAGAAGCAGATGTGCAGGAAACTTTGACAGATGACAAAAATCAAGTTTCTGACTTAGATTTCCAGGAGATAGTGGAAAATGAGGGGGTTCCAGTCACAGATTTAGACGACTTTGAAAACAATCAGGCAGAAGATGTTTTAATAACAGACCTTGACGCCCCAGAACCAGATGCTGACATTGAAATTTCAACTGTTGGATATGCAGTTTCCGCAGACCTCACTCAGGGAGCTGCCTGCACTACTGCTGATGATAGTGACGAAAATATGGTTGAAAAAGATGCACAAGACGATTCATGCCAAACATTCACGCAGGTAGCATCAGAAAGTTTCGATGATGGTCATGGGCTGATCGTTGAACCTCATGGTTATGATGATGTTGAGGAAGAAAAAGAAGAAGAAGAAGAAGAAGAAGAAGAAGAAGAAGAAGAAGAAGAAGAAGAAGAAGAAGAAGAAGAAGAAGAAGAAGAAGAAGAAGAAGCTCTTAAACAAGAAGAGGAAGGACACCAAGACAATAATGGCCAACTGCAGCAGAGTGAAACAGTCAATCCTGAAGAAGAGTTTGAAATCATAGAACGAGAGCAAAAACAAACAAAAGAGCAAGGGGAAGAAATGTTGAAAGAAACATGTGGACAATTTGGACCCGAGGAAAGCACCCCAGAACAAATGGTGCTGGAAGAAGTCCAAACTGCTGCCGAACAGGTGCCAGCTTTATTTTCTCAAGAAAACCAAGAGTTCGAAGAATTTCCTTCAGACCAACAGGAGCCTCACGTCACTCAGGAGAGTGGGGAGATTTTGATTCAGGGTGGTGGGCGTCCTGGGGTGGAGGATTTGCCTCAGCTTATCATCACTGCTGCCTCTGAGACAGAGAGCCTTGACAGTTCCATGTCTATGTCTGTTGACACCCCGCTTGAAGAAAATGTCTTCGCAAAAACTATTTCTGGTGAAGAATCTGGTGTAGATACCACCGCTTCTGAACAAGGAGAAAGAGAAGAAGGAAAAGAAAAAGAAGAACAACAAGACCAGGAAGAACAAGAACAAGAACAAGGACAAGAAGAAGGACAAGGTCAAGAAGACGAAAAAGAAGAAGAACAAGAGCAAGAGGAAAAGGAAGAAAAGGAAGAAGATGAAGAAGAAGATGAAGATGAAGAAGATGAAGAAGAGGATGAAGATGATGAAGATGATGAAGAAGATGAAGGAGGAGAAGACGAAGTGCCTGTTGTTCAAGAAGACCACCAACAGCAGCAACAGCATGCGGTACCTCCTGAAGCAAAACCTGCGGTACAACAACAACTCCTCATCTTAACTGATTTTCCCACTCCAAATGAGAGACCCGAACCTTCTCCTTTGGGATTTGTCGCGCTAGAAGACATCTTTCTTCCTCGTTGGTTGCGTGCTTCCTCTGAATGCCTTGATCAAGTTCATATTGAGACGACCGACGTATTGGCAAGAGCAGCTAGTCCAGAAGCCCTCGACGATGAGGTCGTGAAATCTGTTGCCCACGAAAGGACAGACAATTTCACGATGGAGAGTGCTGTTCAACAACACACCTTCATGGCCCATGGTGAAGACAATTTCAACATTTTCGATACTGGTTCTGATTTTATTGATTACGAGCCAATAACGACTGACTGGGCTACCCTTACAGAGAGGCTGTCAAGCCCTGAGGCCGCGGACGATGAGATCTTACAAACACAAGACAGCAGTAAGATGGTATTTAACGAAACTTGTCCTGTACAAAGAATAGAAATTACTGCACCAGATGAGACAGAGGGCAGTTTAGTTGCTGGTTCGCTGGAGTATTCAGATAGCACTTCTTCTGCAGCTACAAAAGAGGGAGAGAAAGAAGAAGAAGAAGAAGAAGAAGAAGAAGAAGAAGAAGAAGAAGAAGAAGAAGAAGAAGAAGAAGAAGAAGAAGAAGAAGAAGAAGAAGAAGAAGAAGAAGAAGCAAAGAAAGAACAAAGTCAGGTAGAGGGAGTAGAACAAGAACAAAAACAAGAAGAACAAGTAGAACAAGTAGAACAAGTAGAACAGGAACAGGTGGAACTCCTTGAACAGAAACAAACAGAACAATCTCAACAAGAGCAAGAAACGCCAGCAGAACAGCCAGAAGAAGTAGGGGTGCGAGAAGAAGAAAAAGAAGAAGAAGAAGAAGAAGAAGAAGAAGAAGAAGAAGAAGAAGAAGAAGAAGAAGAAGAAGAAGAAGAAGAAGAAGAAGAAGAAGAAGAAGAAGAAGAAGAAGAAAAAGAAGAAGAAGAAGAACATCGAAAATTAGAACAATCTCCAGTGAACAACGAACAAGAACAAGTAGATCAAAAGCAACAAATACAAATAGAACAAGAACAAGAACAAGTAAATCAAGAACAAAAGCAAGAAAAACAAGGAGAACAAGAGGTAGTAGAACATGAACAAGAAGAAAACGTAGAACAAGAATTTGTAGCACAAGAATTGAAAGAGCAAGTAGAACAAGAAGAAGATGAACAAATAGAGCAAGAAGAAGGAGAACACGAAGAACAAGAAAAACAAGTCGTACAAGAACAAGAAGAACCAGAGCAAAAAGCAGTGCAGGAACAAGGGGAGCTCTTAGAACAAACACAGACAGAGCGATTAGAAAAAGAGCAAGAAATACCAGTTGAACAACTGGAAGGGCATACTGGAGAAGAAGGAGAAGAAGAAGCAGAAGAAGCAGAAGAAGCAGAAGAAGCAGAAGAAGAAGAAGAAGAAGAAGAAGAAGAAGAAGAAGAAGAAGAAGAAGAAGAAGAAGAAGAAGAAGAAGAAGAAGAAGAAGAAGAAGAAGAAGAACATCGAAAATTAGAACAATCTCCAGTGAACAATGAACATGAACAAGTAGATCAAAAGCAAACAATACAAGTAGAACAAGACCAAGAACTAACAGAGCAAGAACAAATAAACCAAGAACAAAAACAAGAAGAACAAGAAGAACAAGAAAAAGTAGAACAAGAGCTATTAGAACAAGAAAAAGAACAAGAAGAAAACGTAGAGCAAGAACTTGTAGCACAAGAACTGAAAGAGCAAGTAGAGCAAGAAGAAGATGAACACGTAGAGCAAGAAGAAAGAGAACACGAAGAAAAAGAAAAACAAGTCGAACAAGTACAAGAAGAACGAGTAGTAAGAGAGGAAACAGTAGAGCAGGAACAAGGACAGCTCTTAGAACAAAAACAGACGGGGCAATTAGAACAAAAGCTAGAAATGCAAGTAGAACGACTGGAAGAAGAAGAAGAAGAAGAAGAAGAAGAAGAAGAAGAAGAAGAAGAAGAAGAAGAAGAAGAAGAAGAAGAAGAAGAAGAAGAAGAAGAAGAAGAAGAACAGCATAGAAAATTACAACAATCTCCAGAAGAACAACAGCAAGATGAGTTACTTGATCAGGCATCAGAGAAGGGAGAGCATCAGAGCGAACCAGAAAAAGGAAGTGGGACGCAATCAATTGCTGATCAATCAGGGACTGAGACTTTGGCAGAAACTTTAGTTGCACAAGAAGTAAAGGAAGACGTTTATCCTGTTGATTCTGCTTCTAATGCTCCAGAGAAAACCGACACACGAAAACGTCTAGCTGACTTAGACTACTCCTCAAGCGAAGTCACTCAATCGTTTGAATGGCATTCTCCACAGTCAGAACAGGAGGAAATTGTTGAAGGCGAGAACATCGTTGCTTCTAAACAACTGCAGACACTAGAGTCGGTGAGAGAAGAAGGTCAAGTTGTATTTGCTTTGGACTTCGACAGCGCGGAAGGTGTTCCTTCTGTGCTTCTGCAAGGAGATAACGGCCTTATTGCTAGTTCAGACAGAAACCTAACTGCTCATCCAGAAATTAAAGAAGAACCCGATTATCAGTCAGGTGTGAGGTTTTCTTTGGGTAGTGAATCGGAAACCTCTCTCGAAACTGCTCAAGACAACAATCTCGAAGCAAGACACAAGAAAAGTTCTAGAGACGGTTATCATGACATGCTGGAGGTATTCGGTATCACTGATCCTCCAGGGAGTCCAGGTAGCCCAACTAGCAGGGACCGTCTCCACAGACCCTCAACATCCTCCATTGAGTCCTTCGAGTCCACGGACCCAAATGTCGTCAAGATGCTGGAAGCTTTTGGCGTGGTTAGTCACCCCACCTGCGCCGAAGAAATTGAAGTTGATATGTCTACGCTTACTGCCGCCCACTTACTGAGCCGACCGGAGAGTCCGTTGTCGGCATGTGGAGGTTACGCCGGTGATCGGGACCTTGACGATGGTCAAAGATCGTCAAGCGGTCATCGAGAATTACAACCAGCTTTCAAGGACAGTTTTCACCACGTCAATGACGTCGAGTTTGCAATTAATCAAGAGGTTGATGTTGCGTCTGAGGCGTCCCGTTGTGACAGTCCAGAAGCCATGTACGTGGATGCTTGGCTGAGTAGTCAACGTTTCAACGTTCATGGCGAGGTCACTGACGTACAGGTGTCAAGAGCTGACTCTGAAAGCTGTACGACTGCCCAGACAGAGGATGGTTCCATGCTTGGCGATAACACCCGTTTCGAATTTAGCTATCGGGAGTCATCGTCACTAACGCAGACGCATGGAGATGCCTCAGAGAGATCCAGTCAAGTGGGCGAGGCAGTTGTGCAAGAGGACAATGGCGGGAGAAACGGAGGAGGAGGAGAAGAAGAAGAAAAAGAAGGAGAACAGGCAGAAGAAGAAGAAGAAGAAGAAGAAGAAGAAGAAGAAGAAGAAGAAGAAGAAGAAAAAGAAGAAGAAGAAGAAGAGGATGAAGAGGAAGAAGAGGAGCCACAGCATCGAAAATTACAACAATCTCCAGAAGAACAACAGCAAGATGGGTTACTTGATCAGGCATTAGAGAAGGGAGGGCATCAGAGCAAAGCAGAAGAAGAAGAAGAAGAAGAAGAAGAAGAAGAAGAAGAAGAAGAAGAAGAAAAAGAAGAAGAAGAAGAAGAAGAAGAAGAAGAAGAAGAAGAAGAAGAAGGGCAGCAACAACAACGAGATGAACGTGGCAAAGAAAATCAAAAAGAAATTCTGGAAGAATTAAAAGAGAGACAAGAAGAAAAACAAGAAGAATGCATCTCTCAACAGACAGTACAGACTACAGAGTCTGATGTACTGGTACTGGCCCAAGATGACGCAGAGATTTGCGTTGGGACAGAAGTCGTGGATGTCACGGAAATAAGGGAACCCTCTGTTGTGACAAAATCTGAGAGTGACGAGGAAGAGGAAGAAGAAGAATTTCAAGACACGAGTGAGGTTCCTATCCTTATGGCAGCTGAAGATCAAAGTGAAAGAGAAGATGAACTAACTATGGAAATTTCCACTTCTACTTTAGATGAACCACTTTCAGTATCCGAAACAGTAAAAATGGCATCTCAAGATATTGCCTTGGGTTTTAATTCAACGTCACTAACGGAAATCGACAGAAAAGTGGAGATACTTACCGAAGAAGATTCCACTGCACTGGAGCAAGATTCCACTTTAAGTGGCATTGACCGAAGAGAAAGCCGATTTTCGGAGACAAGGGAAACCCATAGAATTCAAAACAGCATATTTAGCACGGGAGTTGTACCGAATGCTAGTCTCTTCAAGGCCCCAGAACCGTTCATCTCCAAAGAACGGCTGTCGTCTGATGAAGACGACGATGACGATGAAGAAGAGAGCAGTGCTGAGGAGGAGGAAGAGGATCTGGAAGCCAGTGAGAAAGACCAAACTGAAAAGCAAATAACTGAGACCGTCCCCGAAGAAGAATCACAAACATTTAAGCGTAAAGAAGAAGAAGAAGAAGAAGAAGAAGAAGAAGAAGAAGAAGAAGAAGAAGAAGAAGAAGAAGAAGAAGAAAAAGAAGAAGAAGAAGAAAACAAAGACGGTGGGGCGCTCAGAAAAGACGAGGAGGGACACCAAGAAGACGTCACTTCCTCGCAAGAGACAGAAGATACTGTAGCCATACAAGATACCCAAGACTCCAGGGAACAACAAGCGACAAGAGACATCACAGCGTCACTGGAACCAGCAGACATCACTGAGTTGCGTGAGACGAAGGACGTTTCTGAAGAGCAAGACATCGAAGGTGTAACGGCGTCACAAGATGTTAAAGTCATGACAGAATCATCAGAAACTAAAGAATTCACGCACCTACACGAGAACGAAGATGTCACTCTGGCTCAAGAGACAGAACAAGTCTCACAGTCAAACGAGTCGGTGAATGTGTCAGAACAACAAGAAGCAGAAGACGTCATTCAGTCACAAGAAACAGGAGACGTCATCCAGTCACAAGAGACAGAAGAGATTATGTTCGTACAAGATGTAAATGATGTCCAAACATCAGAAAGCCAATTAGACGCCCCAGGACCACAAGATGCGGAAGATGTCGTGAATGCACAAACTTTACAGACAGACAGCCTGACAGAAACACAGACAGACAGTTTGACGGAAATGCAGACTGACGAGTTGACCGAATCTGAGACCAGTGTGATGACTGAATCACAGACTGAACACTTGACTGAATCACAGACTGAACACTTGACTGAATCACAGACTGAATCACAGACTGAAATCATGGCTGAGTCACCGACTGAAATCGTGACAGAAAAACTGACTCACGAGTTGACCGAATCTGAAACCAGAGTGATGACTGACTCACAGACTGAACTCATGACTGAACCACAGACTGAACTCATGACTGAATCACAGACTGAACTCACGACTGAATCACAGACTGAACTCATGACTGAATCTGAACTCATGACTGAATCACAGACTGAAATCATAACCGAGTTACAGACTGAAATCGTGACAGAAAAACAAACTGACGAGTTGACCGAATCACAGACTGAAATGATGACAGAAACACAGTCTGACCAACTGACAAAAACACAGCCTGATGAACTGACCGAAACACAAACTGACGATTTGGTCGAAACTGAAATTAGCGTGATGACTGAATCACAGTCTGTAATCATGACTGAGCCGGAGACTGACATCATGGCTGAATCGCAGACGGAAATCATGACTGAATCACAGACAGAAATCATGACTGAAACACAGACAGAAACCATGACTGAATCACAGACAGAAATCATGACTGAATCACAGACCGAAATCATGACTGAGTCACAGACTGAAGAAATGAGAGAAAAACAGACTGACCAACTAACGGAAACACAGTCTGATGAACTGACTGAAACACAAACTGACGAGTTGGTAGAAACTGAAACTAGGGTGATGACTGAATCAATGACTGAAATCATGACCGAGTCACAGACTGACGAAATGACAGAAAAACAGACTGACGAGTTGACGGAAATACAAACCGACGAACTGAGCTCAGAGCAAACTGACATGGTCACCGAAACACTGACAAACATCTTGACAGAAATAAAGACTGACGTGTTGACCGACGCTCAGCATGATGAGTTCACCAGTACACAAACCGAAATGCAGACTGAGGAATTGATACAAACGCAGTTGGAAGGCTATTCTTCTGACCAGACAGACCTGTTGCTAGAGGTCCAGACTGACGATCTAACAGAAAGACGATCTGACAACGACAAAG